CACGGGCCAGGGCTGGTTCCCGACGCCTGGGCCTGAGCGCCCGCGCCGCGCATCCCCCAGCGGCGCCCGAGCCCGGGCTGCGGCTCCTCGCGAGTCCGGCCCCCTCCGCCAGGCACTGGGGGGCGGGGCAGTTAATAGATTGGCAGCCTACAAGAGGCCTGGGACCCACGGGAGGGTGGCTGCGGTTTGGCTTAATCACAGTCAAACAAAAAGATCTCAGGCCATCATCAAGCGAGCTGCTTGCTGGAGACAGGATCATCCCTATCTCACCCTTTCAGGAAAAAAAGGGTGCTAAAACTCTTATGCTTGCTCCCAAAACATTCCTCCCCCATCCCCAAATACCTTGCCTCTAGTTACTGGGATGCAGGGGGTCTAAATGTTTTCGGGAGACCCACACCTGGCCAATTTCCTAGAGAGAACTTCAGATTTAAATTACTTTCTTCTTCCCCCCCATTTAGCTCTTAACTGTGATCTTTCCTATTTGAGCAGCACCTGCACAATTAGCTCAAGGGATCTCAATTAAGTAAAGCTTCTTAGGCGTTGGACAGAAAAGGCAGGAGAGAGGACAAGATATAAGCCAAGTGAACCTTACAGCTGAGTCCCAAAGTTAAGTGCAGATGTTGTTGAGGGAGAAAAACCTCACTCCTTCCATCTGCTCAAGTTCACTAACTCGTAGTCTTCCCATTATCCCAGGAAGATGCTGCTTTTCCTTATCCCTGATGCTCAATCCAGGTTCAATAAATTGTCTTTAGCACCTGGTTTACTTTTTCAGCCCATACCTCCTTACATAATTCACTACCCCGGTCCTTCAAGCTCTCTAATTTTCTTAAATATATTCCACTTCAAAGGATTCTTGAATCCCTGGTAAAAGGGAAGTTATTTATATTGGGTCCAGAGGCTCTTGGGGTGAAAGGCATTTATCGTGGTTGAAAACAATCCAAGAGTCTATACTCCCTTCTACTTCTGTGTTAATTACTCAACCTTTTTTTTATATATCTAGATTGTCATCACTAATATAATGCACAGAGCAATTCTATGAAATGAAGCTAATAGGAAGTCAGAAAGCTACAGACTGTCATTTCCCACCCCCCTTATTTAAATTACTCTGCTTCCAGTTGCCTATATCTGTTTATCCTCATACCTCGGTTGTCATCTCTTCACGTCTACTCTGCTGCAAGTTGTCTGTTCCTTCCATACATTTTGCCTAGTTCCATTCAATTTCAGCTGAAAAAAGCCTTAGCAACTTCTCCCCAAGGAAATGTGCCTTTTGTCCTTGAAGACAGGTGAATGTTCATTCTAGGTTAGCCATTTTGTTTAGGGTCTACAAGTTAAAGCAGCGGACTCCAAATTCTGGGTTCTCTTCAGGACTTGGTCACTGATTTGCTTTGACCTCAGGCAGGCTTCTTTCTCTCTGTGCCTTGGTTTCCCTGCCTCTGAAGTGGAATTTTATCCTTGTGCTTCAATGTCCTGGGCAGCAGCAAGCTGGAACTAGCATTTGATTAAGGGTTGGATGGAATCTATTAATTAAATGTTATGTTTCCTTTATGATGGAAAGGATAGCTAGTCACCTGAAAGCAAGAGAAAATGTAACTTGTAGCTTCGTAGAAGGCAGTTTAGGAGATAGGTAAGCTCATGTCAAGCTTTCAATGTCTTTGCTCAGAAAGACTGTACTGTGGATGCACCACTGCATTACAAAAGGGAGCTGAAGCAGACACTGCCTGAATCACCCAGCTGTAAATATAATTATAGCTAGTACAGGTGGCAGTACAACCTGTAGCTATTAATCAGGTGCTTATAATTTTGCCTCACTTAATTTGTTCAGGCTGAAATTTCCATGTTAAATGTCTGCTCCAGGATTAACCTTTCAGACTTAGCTACTTCCAAGAACAAAGTTGCAAGGAAAAGTTGTGCTCTCATCAAATAGTCTCACAGCTGTGTGGTGGAAGAGCCCTAGCAAACAAGGATGCAGAGTTTCACAGGGAGTAGCACTGGTGTCAGAGATGCGCTCATGCCATCTGGGTGGAAAACTGTTTCAAACTGGTCTAATTATAAGCCTCTAAATAGGAAAAGTGTGCTCAGAGTTGTAAGGGTTTAACAGCTAAATTATCAATATAGTGCATCTGCATTGGGCACACTCCAACTTCTCTCAGTTCCTACATGTGACTGCACTGTGTACATGCCATCCCAGCAGGATGACCAAACATGCCCCCAAGCTACACTTTCAAGGGATTAAGGATTTTTTCACTTATTAAACAATTGCAGGGAAAGTACCTGAACTGAAAGCAGAGAAATTCTCCTGCTGATATTTCGGAAGGAGGAAGAAGTTATTCTAATAGGAGTGAAGAACAGTAGAGTTGAGTATGGTATGGTGCCTGTCCATCACCCTTCTCTGCATCATCTGGAACTGAACCATTATTCCTGAGTCCCACTCTTCCTTTGCTGCCTAACAAATATAGGAGAAACCCATTGGTAAAATGCATCTTCACCACCCTCTAGTGGCAGATCTATGCATGAACGGAAAATGTTCTTTTCTGTCACTTACCCTGACAGTTCAATAGGCAGCGGTTCTTTGCTAGGGCCCTGTAGATACAAGCTCTGATGATGATCTTCTAGAGCGGAGGACAACATGCTTTTTTAAGTTTTTATAAAATGTAGAAATTGAAAACATAATGGAGAAAATATAAAGCTTCAGAATCAAGGGTTTAGAGTTAGCAAATGCCAGAATGGCAGTTACCCATGTGACTTAATTTCATCCCCCTTGTACGCATGTAAAACATAGTGTGGTCATTAATGATGTGACCACATGCTTGCTTTCTGCAGGACCTATTCAGTGGGAGTTGCAAGTGCTTATTACCTCTACAAATTAGAGCACTCGCATCTAAGCTACAGC